CTACCACTGCAACCCTGTTTGGATTACTGGAGTCACTGTGGGGTTGCATGGACGTTACTGAATAAAGACGTCAACCAAAATGACAGCAACACGGTCGCAGAGGCAGAGCAGACGGTAATACTCAAGAATAGTGTTTCCCTTAATAAGTCTGTGAGTTTTCGGTTATGCACCTGCCATTATCTCTCCTGCATTTACTGAAGCAGCAGTATTTTGTGTTACTGGAAAAGGAACTTGTGTGCAAATCTATCATGCGGTCATTCAAATTAAAAAATGACGAGTCGTCAGTCACTGGAATGTAGTTTCTCTGTGGTGATAGAACAATGAATATCTACAATTAAGCTTAGCAAGCGGCTCATAAGATAATTTTGTTATCAAAGCTGGTTGTCTTAACTACAATAAGAACTTCTTAACAGAAATTACAGAGGAAGAACAAGGATTTGCATTAGAATCAAGTCAGAGTTTCACATCAACCTGCAGTACCAACTCATCAATTCATCAGGGTCAACATTATCAAGACATTTTGTTGGATAAAAACATAACATATTTATTGGTTACTCATATCCTAAAAGCCACACATTATCACATATTTATCCCTTCCCCATGCTAACTGCCTTTGAACAGCTTTTAAGTATTGCTGGAAGTCCCATGGGATTTATTATATGTGCAATGTGTTTTCATGACATGCATGTCAAACATGCACAAAATGATGGCAACAACAACATGGAACTTAAATCGCCAGCACTACTTCCATACAAAGAAGGAACCTCGGAAACGTTCCATAAAATTTTTAACAATGCAGAAATAAAAGTGGCATTCAAACCTACAAACTCAATTAGAGATGAGCTGTGTTGGTTAAAGAATCCTGTGGAGACAATCAAACAAAGCAATTTAGTTTATCAAATGGCCTGTTGGAATGATTGTCAGGTCAAATACATGGGTCAAACTAGTAGAACAAGTGCAGTCAGACTAGCTGAGCGTGGAAAGAGCACTATGAGGAGCAGTTTAATTGGCCCACAGCCAAGCTCAACCTGCCGAACATCCAACATCTCCCTGAACGGGATATAGACACAGGTCCTCCTTCCTTAACTGAGGTTACTAAAGCTGTCACCAATCTGAAATAAGGCATAGCAGCGGGACCTGATGGAATGACTCCAGAGGTATTTAAGTACGGTGGAGACAGTTTACTGTCTGCGCCAACTGAGGTTCTAAGCAGCGTCTGAGAATCAGAGGAAGTCCCATCGGGTTGGTGTAAGTCATTGATTATCCCCATATACAAGAAGGGAGACAAGTCTTCCTGTGATAATCACAGAGGGATTAGCTTGACTAATATAGTATCTCAAGTCCTATACTCAATAATCATGAGAAGACTAAGTGGTGCTTGGGAGGCACAAACACGAGAGAACCGGGCAGGCTTTAGACCAGGAAGAAGGTGTATTGATCATATCTTCACCTTCCGACAGATTCCAGAACATAGTCATTCCTACCGGCGTCCAACAATCGTTATATTCCTTGACCTAAAGGCAGAATTCGATTCTGTCGATCGATAGGTACTCTGGCGATACTTGGCTGTAAAGGGAATCCCGAGAAAATACATTGCACTGATTAAGGCACTCACTCCACTCGAACTCATGCAGCCAGGTGAGGCCTTACGGCAAGTTGTCATCTGAAGTGATGACATCTAGTGGTGTTCGCCAAGAATGCCCAGTATCCCCATTTATATTCAACTTCATCATAGACGTACTAATGGACTCAACCCTAAGTGACTTCAGCGACTCAGGGATTGACTTGCTACCAGGCAATAATCTCGTTGACTTAGAATATGCAGGCGATATAATCCTTCTAGGCGAGGACGCTGATAAAATACAGCAGTCTTCTGAACACCTTGAGCTTCAGTCTACGAATGTTTGGCATGCGATTCGCTCCCGCCAAATGTAAGATGATGTTACAAGACTGGACTACACTGACTCCTAGTTTAGAAATAGGCAGGGAAGTGGCAGAGCACGTTGACCGCTTCACTTATTTGGGAAGTACCATCAGCCAGCGCCTACGGGTTGATCTCTGACGAAATCTCAGCTGAGTACGGATACAGAGGGCTAGTTTCGGATATGCCAGTTCACGCCGTCTCTGGGGTAGACGTAATATCCGTCTGGCTGTCGACCAAAGGGCGGGTGTACTGCTCCGAAGTCCACTCCGTCCTCCATCATGGCTGCGATCGAGACCTGGCCATTGAGAGTGGAAGACATGAAAAGACTAGCTATCTTTGATCATAGGTGCCTGCGTTCTATCTACCGTGTGAAGTGGTATAATAAGGTGAGTAATATTGAGGTTAGGCTTCAGTCGAGTCCTAGGTAAGGAGGGGAAATCAATCGACGAGGTTGTAAAGGCACATTGACTGAGATGGTTAGGACATGTGTTACGTATGCCTGGTCATCGCCTCCCTCGACAATGGGCAATGTTAGCTAACATAGGATCAAGTTGGAAAAGAGCCAGTGGTGGTCAAACCAAAACATGGCCTCACCAGTCAATGAAATCCACAACAGTTAGTCTAAGCCACGTAGGAAGGTGTAAACTTCTTAGCTGGTTGGGGTCCTCGAGACGGTAAAAATCAATGGTTGGAAACAATTGGTGATATGGCTCAAAATCGTTGTCAATGGCAGCACGGATGCATCCACTCCTTGTGACTTATGATTTCCGATGAAACTATATTGTTATTCCATATTACTATTCTCTTTGGCTCATATCTCGGTTTACTGTCTCTATTATGCATTTCTTCTACTTTCTCTTGCTTTGTGTGCTACATGGAGTGTGGCGACTTGAATTGCCGCCGATTGGTGCAAAGTTCTATGTCGAAGACAGATAGATGAGCACAAAACCTAGCAAGATCTAGATTAGTTGACTCGAATGAGATAAGAATTCTGGAGAATAGTTCAGCCATAGATAGCACTGCATGCAAATACACACAACCATACAATAGGACAAGATGAAAATACTAAAATCGAATATAACAGGTTGAAGAGAGAGACTAGTAAGAAAAGCCTTATTTATCAAATCAACGGAGAGAGAGTACATGTAATAGTAGGAATGACTCAAGATGTGTCCCGAACATTTGAAAGATTCTAATTCTTCACGACGAATGGGGAAGAATAAAAAGACTATAAAACTGAGGTTTCGAAGTTGTGAAATTACAATTGATATGATTATGAGCAATAAATTTTGTTCTAAACACCTCCCGGTAAATAATCCTGTTTCATTGTGTGACGTATCTTATATTAGAATAAGAGAATTAATAAGAAACTTATGTCTTTAGAAGTGATTAATTTCAGTGTGGATTTCATGGTGAAACAAAATTACTTAGAGAATCAGTGAAAAACAGGGAGAACCGGACACGTATTCTGCCTTGTAGAATTTAACTGCGACTTGTTATTTAAGATAGCGCTGGGTGCAGCAGAACTGACTTCATGAAATTAGATTTCGTCTGACATATGGCATACCATTATCTTCATCTACGACTTGTAATCATAACACTATTGATGACTAGAACTTTTGATGAGTGTGAGGTGAGATTTCAGACGATATTGGCAGGTAGTGTTATTCAATGCCTTGGTGTACATTTTGAGGTTGTGACGAGAAGCTGTCACCGCATCTATGAATCTCCATGAATGTGCTTATATCTGGATCTTCAGCGATTAGTGAGAGACAGTGAAGTTTCACTAAAAGAAGGTTGGATGCAGGCCATGTCGGAGTATATGTAACATGCCCTAAATGCTCAATATGCTGAAACTACTCTTGAGCATTTAGCACACATGACGTATAGAATGTAGTGGGAACTCTTGACAGAAATACAAGTGAATACTGATTACGACCTAGTAATATTATGAGTTTCTGCTAAAAACAAGTCACGTCAACATGACAGCTCTGTTAGTATCACTGACCATTTGGCGTACAGTGATAAAATACACGCGACCATCCGATTCGGAATATATGAGTTTATGTGGATGCTATTTGGTCTTCGAAATGCTGCATAAACTATTCAAGAATTAATCGACGACTTACTGTCTGAACTAAGGTTTGTTAAGGCCTACATGAATGACCTACTCATCACTGGCCCGGACATCAACACACGTAAAGACCACATTCAGGTAGTGTTACAAAAACTGAAAGACAACGGAATGACAGACAAAGGAAGTGCTTCTTTGGAGCATAGACAATTGAGTTCCTATGGCATTGACAATACCAGAATTCCATCAATGTCCAAGGCGGTGGACACTACCAGATAATATCCACTACTCACTTCAATCACCCAACTCCATAGCTTTCTAGGCTTCATTGCCTTCCATGGGCGTTTTATGCGTAATTTCGCAGCTTCTTACTGACGTGCTTCTAGGAAAACCAAAAGACTTCCAGATGCATTCAAAGACATTCTTTAACTAAAAGATGCAACTATGTAGGCCACTACCTTAACATATCCGGATACATACACCTCTTAAACTAGTGAAAGATACATTCGCTAAGGATGCAGAAGCAGTCCTGTATCAGCTAGGTGTTAATGACCAGTTACATTCTTATCCAGACGTCTTACTCCAGCAGAAACAACGTACTCAACCTTTGGCAGAGAGTTGGTAGCGATAAACAACGATTGTTTGCATGTAGTTGAAGCATACTTACACAGAATTCTATTGGTTATTTATGCACAAGATGCGATAAACTTCGCAGTATCTCGTTATCCCAATGAAAATCTAAGGCAAACAACACAATAGTTTAGGGATAATTTATTGAGTATACAAGTAAATAGGCAGTCGTAGCAGTAATAAGTATGCATTGAAAAATTTTTCTTACATATTAAGGAGAAATAAAAATAAATAAGACCATGATATAAATCTCATTATTATGTTTATAAACTACAGTATATTCACCAATCTCATAGAATTTTATGGAGTTATTTTCCTGCACTCATATAGCCAAAAATCTGAAGATATTACAATTTCGAAAATTATTCATATTCATTGGATTCTGTAAAATGAATGAGAAAGCAATACATTTAGATAAATTATAATAGAGCATAGTGCTGCTGCTGTATTCTTCATTGAATATTATCAGTTAATATAATTCAAAGAATACCAAGCGAATGTGTAAAGAATTCCAATCTAAGCTGACAGTGACACAATGAGGTGCAGCTCCTCAGTGAAATCACACCATGGTTTCCCTTAAGGGTAAGAATCTTCACATCACACATTTACATTCGGTTGACTTCACAATATTTCTACAAAAGAGAGGATTTCTCGAAATGTGATAGGTTTCATCTTTCATGAGTTGAATCAAGCAGAGTAGGTGGCAAATTGAACTGCTTAGGCGAACTATACGATGTATAGGTCACACTGACATAATTGACAAAGACAACTAGTCAGTATGAATGGTTTACAATCACTTGCTCAGTAGTGTGTCACGCAGTTCTCTTGAGCAATATTAGCACATAACTGAAAAATTAACAACTAGTTAGCACCCAGAAGTCATCAATAACATTGCATTGATTTAGTTCTACACAGATACAGTTTATTACTTCAACAACGGTTTGTCAGTGGTAAAGTGCTAGAGTACTCATTAACCACACCTGTGGCACAGGTTGTGCGTCAGTGGCACAGTGGTTAGGACTCTCACCGACCACGCACATGGTCCGATCCCCTGCCGACACACACAGCCTGCAAAATTTGGGCTACCGATATCACATGCTGAAAATTCCATACTTGTACCAAAATTACGGTGTGGAGTCAAGCTGTAATCAAATCAAATCAAAACAACACCTGTGGTACAAGTTTCGACTCTCACCAGACGCACTCCTAAACCTCGCTTAGCCAGTATTAAGACCGGCAGAAAATGAAAGTTGTGCATGAGGTTACCAACCTCACTCTGTAAAACAAAAAAGCAATCAGCAACTGAAATGTCAAATCTCAAGCTTGAAACCCTATGTTCCACTTGGAACGCAAAGAAGCAAATATATAACAAATAATAAAGCAAACTTCAAAACTGAGTCATGGTTCCATATTGGTTTGTTTATTTGATGTATGACACATTGAGTGAAACAGTATTATTTACTGGATGACGTTTCGAACAAAATTTATTGTTCATATTCATAACAATCGATTATAATCACACGATTTCGAAACTGTCCTCTCCTATTTGTCGTAGGGGTTGTAGAATTTTCCAGATTCCCGGATGGACAGCTGTTGAATCATTCTTATTACACGTGTTTGCAGTTCATTCGATAAACAAAGCTTCTGTTATCAATCTCTCCCTCCACCCTGTGACATTAGATTTTAGAATTGTCATCCTATCCCATCCTATTGTACGGTTGTGTGTCCGAGCAATGCTGGGGACATCACTCGTACAAAATTCCCATGAAACTTCATGAACTCTCTTACAAATTGCCGCGCCTGGGCAGCGATGATTCGAGACGTTCATGAAGCCGGCTCATCCTCCCGTAGGAGATAGCCGAAGTAAAGTAAAGTAAAGTAAGTAAGTGTAATTGTATGTAGCGAGTGCTATAGCTGAACTATTCTCTAGATTTCATATCTTATTCGGGTCAACCAATTTAGATTTGCTGGGATTTTATGTTCGGCTAGTCTGGCTGCCCCTGTTCTACTAGTTTGACCTATGTATTTGACCTGACAATCATTCAAACAGGGTATTAGGTAAACTAAATTGTTTTGTTTTAAAGGATCCTGTGGTCCAGTCAGACAGGCGGAACATAAAAACTTAGCTAAATCTAGATTGGTTGACCCGAATAAGATATGAAATCTAGAGAATAGTTCAGCTATAGCACTCGCTACATACAATTACACACAACCGTACAATAGGATGGGATAGGATGACAATTCTAAAATCTAATGTCACAGGGTGGAGGGAGAGATTGATAACAGAAGCTTTGTTTATCGAATGAACTGCAAACACGTGTAATAAGAATGATTCAACAGCTGTCCATCCGGGAATCTGGAAAATTCTACAACCCCTACGACAAATAGGAGAGGACAGTTTCGAAATCGTGTGATTATAATCGATTGTTATGAATATGAACAATAAATTTTGTTCGAAACGTCATCCAGTAAATAATACTGTTTCACTCAATGTGTCATACATCAAATAAACAAACTAATATAGAATTACTTACTACCACTGCCAAGGTTCTACACATATAATCTGAATCATGGTTTTTTGAATTTTTGGAAAGGCATGACTTTACGCAGAGTTGTGGATAAACCTCGCTGACAAGCATCAACAAGTGCGAAAGAGGTGTTAACCGCGTTCATTTAATCGAATTCAAAGAATTTTGTCAGATTCTACCGTGAATGAACTGTGATGAAACAGGCAATACAAAGAATTATCGAAATTAGAAGATGACAATTGGATAGAAATTCCAACACACACAAAGCCACAATAATCGCGACATTCCACAATTTTACAGAAATCAATGCACTTAATACCATGACTAGTATATGTATTTGTCACCTTCCGTATTCACAATTTTAAAACTGATGTTTTTTTTGTTTTTTTCCTTCACGTCCCCCGGTGGAATATAGGGCTTCAAGCTAGTGGCTTGAAGTTTTTGTAGCAGTTTTTATTTTACAGGATGGGGTTGCCAGCCTCATGCCCAACCTTACCTCTTTACCAACATTATTTCTGGCCTAGCGAGGTGAAGGAGTGCGTCGGCCGGGTATCGAACCCCGGACCCTGTGCATGATCGGTGAGCGTCCTAACCGCTATGCCACCGACGCAAAACTGACGTGCACAGTACTTATAAGAATAAAATGGAAAAAATGGTCAGCAACATCCCAAATATAAACAATAATTAGAGGTGTAAACTGGTTCTTTTTGGCAGTAGACTGTGAATTATTGTTGAAATAGTCAGAATGACCATCTCTCGTAGTAAATGTGTTTTTCTATTCGACTAACAAAACCATAAGCAACTGTTGAACTGAATTATAATTGCTCACCTATAATACGTAGGGATAGGCCACACGGGCGGTTTGCGATTCATAATAATCTGTAAAAACCAATCAGTAGACACTTTAGTCAATTTCGATAAAGCACATGTTAAAATTGCAATGGATTTATCTGACGTTGCATTCTTTGATAGCTGATAATTTCGCTGACGCGGTTTAATCCCCATGATAATTGCTTCATAATCTTCTCTAGTAGTGATAATAACTGCTTTTTGAGTCTATGAGGAAAATGGGAATACAAGTACAAAAATGAATATAGTCGAATGAGATAACCAGATTGCACAGAATTTATGCCATTTAAATTCAGTGTTGATACCTATTAAACATCTGTTGATTTCAGTAATAGTCGAGAAACTAGTTCTGTACTTCAGCGCCTAGATATCTAGGAATACAGAAACTGCATCATATAGTAGTGAATAACAGGAAGGCATTTGAATTCACCAAATACTAAAATTCCCCTTATTCTGCTTTTGTTTTTACAACGCTGTTGCAAGGATGAAAAATGTGTCGCAGTTTAGTGTTGGTTCGGTCTTTGCAATTCCTACCTTTCCTAGATGACAATATCTGTCTAAACGCCAATATGATACGTTCAGCGTAAAACGACAGCTGATCCAATATATATTTAGGATTAATATGACAGTACAAACTCTGACGTTTTATCAACATCTTGTTTAACAAATAAATGAGTAATTAACTAAACTGCCAAACAACGTAATACAGAACACATAATTATGAGGATAACCTTAGAAATAAATAAGTAAAGCAACCCTCTTACCGATTTCTGCTTAACACGATTAATCAGATCGGCATCGGACATCCAATGACCACCTGCCAACTCAGTAAGTTTGCGTAAATCAGCTAAGGGTGGGGAGACATTTTGTGTAGAACAGAAGGACCAACCCGATAAAAAATTGTCGACTTCACAAGTATTTTCTGCTTCATGTTTAAAAGACTCTGATAATCCGGAACAGTGCCTTAGTGATTGTTTACTCGACAGTAGATGAATTTCAGGTTTGGCATCATAATGTAGATGAAGTCAAGTGGATCTAACAAGGAAGCAGTTAATGATAAATTCACACATACAGCTAACAACCAATATAAATTTAAGATAGATTGAATGGATTTCTGAATTCCTGCTGCCACACCCGAATACTACTTCTAAATGCTACAAGAAAAACTGAATTTCTTTTGAAATAGTCAGTAGTGCATATATTCATCTCCGATTTAAGATGAAAAGGTGATGACTGAGTATTTCCATATTAGTTTGTTTATTAGATGTATCACACAGTGAAACAGTATGGTATACTGGATGACGTTTCGAACACAATTTATTGTTCATAATCATATCAATTGAAACGTCATCCAGTATACCATACTGTTTCACTGTGTGATACATCTAATAAACAAACTAATATGGAATTACTTACTACCACAGTGCCCAAGTTTTACACATACAGGAATATCAAAAAATGTTTACACACAGGTTAACATGATACTGTTCTAACAATAACTCATAGCTTTCACGAGCCCATAGGGCAGTCCGATTAAAATACTGACCGTGTTTAACTGAAGCCCAATCTAAAAAATGTGGATTATCAGCGAAATCAGCATAACTTGGCAACAGTTACATAACTGTAAACTTTTTTTAGTATTCGTGCCAACTCGGAGTTTGAGTCTACCATTTCTTGTCCGGTTTTTATACTTTTCAAATGGTTATTTCGTTTACCTTAAGTGTATTATACATGTACATAGAAGGCAGCTATATTGAAAATCCATGATCCCCAGAAGAACGAAACACCGAGAGTTTAAGTATTGTCTTTCCTGCTTTGTTTAGCATATAATGAAGCTCATTTGGAGGTTTGTTTCTACAGTATAGCTTTATTTCAAGTTATATGCATTCTTAGCACTGCAAATAAAAGCAGTATTATTGAATCTTCAACTACGAAACTAACCCAGCAAACATTGAGGCAGAAACTGTTGCACACAAATAACACCATTTGTATTTATTGTACCCATTCGAATAGAAAAATGCGTGATAAATCATTTCATAATAACATTACACAACCGAAGAGACGTACAGTGAAGAATTACCCTTTTCAGTTATATCGTTCTATATACATACAGAAAGCCTGGTAGAGATAAGTAAACTGAGTGACAGAACAAAATTGACAGGATTGAGTAGAGCTCAAACGAAATTGAAAGAGTTACTTTAAGATTAGTATCATAAGGGTTGGAAATGTAATAGTGGTGGGGGGGGCGGGGCAGAGGGATAAAAATAATATCATTAAAACACTCAAAAGGACTGACAAAAACTACATAACAAATGTGTTAAGACAAATTAGGTCCATTGTACCCTCAGTGACTGAACCAACTTCTTCTGTATGCAGGGTTCAGGATTTGAGATGTGTAGTGCGGTTTGAAGAAGCCTGAGTCGTACTCCTTTAGCAAGATTTCCACCAACTCCGCATAGATGGGTCTGAAGTCAGTGCATGGGTTCGCTCATTGGACGAAGTCGGTCAGATGTTTTAGAATAGAGCTACGGCGGGATCTCCCCCTTTTTTTGTGAATCATAAGCACCAATGTTCGCTAATACATTTGGATAGCAAACATTGAGTGTCAATCAATTCCTAGGTTCCATAACAGCTTGGAAATTGATAGATATACAATGATGAAGCCATCTTTCACTATCATACAAATCACTAGTTTTGCAGAGGAAATGAGTGGAAGTTCAGATGTGAAGGTTTTCTTCAATGAACGCGATAGGCGGTTTCCTGGTATTTCTGCCGAGGAGTTTCGAGTGAATTAAAAATTCGAATAGAGAAGCAGAAAGTATTTGTGGTTTTAGTGGTGAAGACTTCATGAATTTAGCGATAAACTGTTCACAGTAGCCATCCAGCTCTGCATCCATGGTGTCAGAGCCTAACCCAACCGACAGCTGCTTCTTTGTTGGGTGATCGGGCTTGCATGTTGTATTGACCTAACAAGTTACACTGGCTGCTATCGATGTTCCTGTAGGTCCCAGCACAACAGAAAGATGGCGATAAGACTAAAAGCAGTTATAGGTAAAGTGTAAGATGTTCACACTATGCCTGAGGTCTGTGGTCAAAGTTATACTGATGGGGAAAAGAAATGTAACAGCAGTGTTCCCCTCAGATGAGTGACATGCCAGCTGTACTGCCTCTTCGCTCTAGGAAGGGGGTGTTAGAAAACATTGCAACATTTTTCGTCAGAAGCCTTTACCGAATAAGACAATAGACTTTAATAGCCAGAACTGTGTTACTTCGAGACATGGATGTTGTCATGCACCTGTCGCCAAATAATATGAACTTGTCTAAAGTTGATATGATAGTGGATTAATACGTGGGTATAATAATAATGACGCAATGGAAAACTCAACTGATATGCCAGATACACCTATTTATCCTTGGTGCCTTCGGCTTTACTGAGTCATGTAAATATTGAAAGATATAGACTGATCGGTGACTGTTAGGGTACGATTTTATTAGGGAAAAAGCACATCATATGTATTATTATTGTTTTCTTTAATTCCTAGAGGAAAATAGGGCTTCAGCCACACATCTCCACTGCGTTCGGTTCTCTACCAACGTTTTCACCTGGCTCCACCTATGCCCACATGCTTTCATCTGCTCTACACATGACCTCCTCCATGTCACCCTCGCACTGACGACTAACTCGCCGCTTCCCGTTTGAGTTCCACTCGAGCAATGGCCTGGAGTGTGATGTCACTTGATGGTTTTCTCATAGTACGGTCAATCCACTTCCATTTCTTCCTCCATATTTGTTGCACAATCGGTTCCTGTTGAGTTGGTTCGCTCCCAAAGATCTCACACTATTGCAGATCTTTTCTGGCCGGACATCTGATCTTGAGTACTGGGTGAAGATAGCTGTTGATGAAGGTTTGTAGTTTGTTGAAAGTGCCCTTCGTGACGCACGAAGTCCCTGATTCGTACAGTAAGTAGCACTGCCTTCACATTGGAGTTGAAAATCCGGATGTTATTTTCCTTTTCATGCTGAGTGCTGTTGATCTCCACACAGACTTCAGAATAATTAAACCTTAGCTTGCTTTCCCGATCCTCGCTTTGATATCCTCGTCAGTTTCATCAACCTGTGGTTGAAACGATGCTTCCCAGTTAGGTAGGTGAAGGAGGTTGCTTCTTTCAGATTTCTCCCATTTATGCTGACTGTCGCTCTTGCTGTTGGCCAGGAATCGTCACCACCTATGTTTTCTTTATGTTCACCTGAAAGAAAGTCCTATCTTTGATGCTTGTTCTGCCAACTTGTTGGTTTTCACTTGCATATCTTTCAGTTTGTGGGAAGTCTCTGTCTGTCTGTTTTCGACATAGAACTTTGCACAAATGTGCGGCAGTTCAAGTCGCCACACTCCGTGTAGCACGCGAAGCAAGAGAAGAAAATACAAGAAAAGCATAATAGAGACAGTGAGCAGAGGTGTGAGACAAAGGAGTAATAACGAAGAACAAAACAGTTTCATTGGAGATCAGGCCGCGTGTGACCGGCCTCAAGCAGTTGTCCCCTGGGCTCTGCGGTCACGCAACCAACTTCCACGGTGTGGGCAGCCGGGAAGTAACAATCGCCCTCACAATCCGAAACGCACGCGAAACCTCTCTTGTGGGAAGTCAGACATATATCACCGGCGAAGTCCAGAACCTCCAAGTATTTTGTGTGGGTCCATTTTATGCCTGTTTCCTCGTTGCCCGCTGTCTGTCGCATTATCAAATGTACATATATGTAACTACATTAAAATTCAGTTAGGGCAATGGAAAATGGATGAATCTGATTGGTAGGCAATTGGTCTAGGACCAACGATGAAACACTTTCAGTCACCCGATCTTAAGGTGAAACCTGCTGGTTTAATGTATTGATTACTATGTTTTGCAGCTTCCGTAAGAACTGTAACAATTACTTATTGGATCTGTCTGGAAAACTTTTGATTCTCTGAGCGAAATTAATTCCCGCCGGACACAAATGATTTGGTGTAGAAGTATTTGGTGCAGTTAAAATCTATGCAAGATTTTTTCACTATTGTCCCTCCTATTCACTCTCATGAAAACACACTCAGAGGCAGTGACGAAGCGTTTGACTTGTCCATAGGATTGGATATGATACCGAAGTTTGCCAGTAGTCCGTTACATGTCGGCTTACTGTAGATGAATATTTTCTGTGCCTCGTCTTGTTCACCTCTTGTGAGTTGAACGTGCAAGAAAGCCATTTTTAAAATCGTCTCCTACTTTTTATGAAACCAACTGCAGGGCAGTAGCTGTTAATAAAATCTAGAATGTCTCGCTAATTCTCTTTATTATTGGATATCAAAAAGGTATCAGTCATTTTCTATAGATATGTGTCTCCCAGTTCTGACATGAAAAAAAATCAGCAAGCAATGGGTGATGGGGAACTGAAAAATTTCTTTTTCTTCCTCATAGAGAATTGAACATTTAGGGTAACCTCACTATGAGTTTCTTCCAAATAATAAATTAGTACTCTGTATAATCCCTTTGAATCATTATATACACAGCTAACAGGACATTCGTAACCAATAAGATCACACCAAGTAAGAGCATAATTTAATTAGAAATGTTGATGTTTCCAATGGAATTGAGAAAGTTGAAAGGATCTCGGAGTGACAGACAGAGAAATTACTTTCTGACTGGTTCCAGCAGGTTTCCTAACCATTGGTCGATGTGAAGACAAAGGTGAATTCGTCATGTCAAGATTAGGACGAAGACTTGTGCCTTCCTTGTGTACTTTCGGTGACCAATACAGTCAAGGTATATTTTAAGCAAACGGTTTCAGGGAATCAAGCATCATTCATTCTTCAGATGTCCGTTAATTTTTCTTCAGTTTGATCTGTCATATTCTTTTCATCGATCAGCTTTGTAAATTTGGATTCGTCAGATAGGATAGAATTTATATAAGTCCAAACCAAGTTCACTTTTAACAGTTTGAAAAAATTTGGGCATTGGGTATATGATATTCATTATAATAAAAGTTTTTTGTATTTCCCAATGAATGAAAAGCAAAACGATACTGCTTTTACTGACGTTTCGCTATTTAATGCTAATAGCTTTATCAAAGTAATATTGACCAAAATTTACAAACACCTCGAGAAATCAAAATCAGAAGATATGAACACAGTAGAGCATCTGTTCGACCACCAAGAAACCCAGTTGAACTAGAAAAACTTGAAAAATCATCAGCCATACGTCCACACGCTATTGAATCAGGCCGCAAAATTGATTTTGACAATATTGTAATTTTTTTATTTATTTCTTTCACGTTCCCAGTGGAACATAGGGCCTCAAGCTAGAAGCTTGAGGTTTCTGTAGCAGTGTTTATTTTACAGGATGGGGTTGCCAGCCTCATGTCCAACCTTTCCTCTTTACCAGCATTATTTCTGGTGTAGCGAGGTAAAGGAGTGGGTCAGCCGGGGACCGAACCCCGGACCATGTGCATGGTCGGTGAGCGTCCTAACCGCTGTGCCACCGACAATATTGAAATAATCCAGAAAAATTTCAGAAATCACAAAGAACGTCTAATATCAGAAGCATTTCACATAAAGTGGGATCCAAATTGTCTGAATAGGAATGATGGGCTAAAACAGAATTTGACCTGTTTAACAACACCTCCCTACCCCGTAAAGTGACAAAATCAATACGAATGTGATAAGCAATTTCATTACGTAAACACACGCTGCTTTTATAATTTTACACACTTATCAAATCCAACAATCTACACCTGATTTTGTTATCTTTACCAATTGGCCAATTTGACAACGAAAAATAACCCCATACTGACCAACGATGATTAAGTTCTCATAGATATGCTGAGATTTTGTAAATTGTTTTAATAATACTTTGATAAATCTATTAGCTCATGGAAAATTCCCATTGTAACATATAGAAAATCAAAACAAGTTATTCAGCGAAGAGACTCTTTTCAACGAATTTATCATCAAGCTGTACAGTCGTATATACATATATGTGGTTTTTAAGAAGTTATATCCGGTGAGGGAATTGAACCTTAGGTGTGAATGCATAAAATAATAATAATAATAGTAGTATGAAATGCAATTGAAAAACTCATACTCATATTGTCATTCTAAATCAATTCTTTTTTACAACGATAAATTCTATGCTATTAAATTTCACACAATATTACGTAACGTTTTTGTTTTATTCGATTTGTCTACTAATCCTATAATTGCACACCCTTTTTCAAGTTCTATCCATCCTATGAATTATTCTATATATGTCAAGTGGCAAAGCAAATTAATGTCATATGTAGAATAATTCATAGGATGGATAGAACTTGAAAAAGGGTGTGCAATTATAGGATTAGTAGACAAATCGAATAAAACAAAAACGTTACGTAATATTGTGTGAAATTTATTAGCATAGAATTTATCGTTGTAAAAAACAATTGATTTAGAATGACAAGTGAAATAATACCGGGGACAGTTCAAAGTGAGAATAGTAATAATAACAATTGACGTAATAAGGAAGAGTATACAAATTGAATAGACAAAATGAAAAATTGCTAGAGCTAAAATATGATTGGGGATTATCATACTTTAGCATAGAGGGACTAAGACCATGAAAGTTGGAGGGGTTGAACGAACTTTTTCTGTACACAGAGATCTGGCTTTTCTGTTTCGAAAGCCAAAGCTTCAGCAATACAGATGAGTCGGGTACGTAGGGATTTTGGTAAATTACTCTTTGCCTTGTAGATGGCTTTAAAGGTGGAGGCTATAGAGTTAGGGTGATCATTATCGACCAGATGTTGAATGATCGCGTTTCTTATTGCTCCAATTCCGCCTTTTCGTAGCCATGCAGGATAGTGTTCTTGCACCCTCTTGGACAAAACTCGAGTCGAACGACCGATATACCTAGCTCCACACGAGCAGGTGAATTGATAAACACATCCACTTCTATCTATCCTATGAATTATTCTATATATGACATTAATTTGCTTTGCCACTTGACATATATAGAATAATTCATAGGATGGATAGAACTTGAAAAAGGGTGTGCAATTATAGGATTAGTAGACAAATCGAATAAAACAAAAACGTTACGTAATATTGTGTGAAATTTAATAGCATAGAATTTATCGTTGTAAAAAAGAATTGATTTAGAATGACAATATGAGTATGAGTTTTTCAATTGCATTTCATACTACTATTATTATTATTATTTTATGCATTCACACCTACTCTATATATGACATTAATTTTCTTTGCCACTTGACATTTAACTACGTTTATAATCACAAACATTTTAGTCTTAATTGCACCTCATATTATTACTATTATTTTATGCATTTACACCTAAGGTTCAATTCCCTCACCGGATATAACATCTTAAAAACCATAAATATGTATATACGACTGTACAGCTTGATGATAAATTCGTTGAAAAGAGTCTCTTCGCTGAATAACTTGTTTTGATTTTCTATAAAGGTATTAGCATTCAATAGCGAAACGTCAGGAAAAACATCGTTTTGTTTTTCATTCATTGAGAAAACTTTTATTATGATGAAGGATAGAATTTAACTGATTTTATTCTCGTGATTCACGAGTACAGTTCTCCTACATTTATCAATCGGGATGTATAGACATAACTCACGGCATATACATTTTGGATCATAGGAAAAATAAAAAAGATGGTTGCAGCGAAGAAAATTTTCCCCTCGACGAAACCATCAACTAGAACGTACACTCGTGTATCTATAATAATTGGGTGAAAAAACTCCCGAGCTATTTCCAGTTGAAGGTCAAAATATCAAGACTACAAATACGAAATAAAATGTAATAACAAAATTAACAGGAAGATCGGATAAAAACAGTAGGATCATAATTATCGAGAAAAATGACTTCTTGTGCAAATAGGAATTAAAAAGGTAGTAATAACAAAATGCATAGGGAGTTCGGATAAAAAAAGTGCGGAAGTGCAAACAGGGATTAAAAAGTGCAAAAATATCATAAATAAACAGGAATGTTTTTTACTGAGGAACTTAGTAGAATAATCACTATTTAAAGAATTGACTGTTTACGATGCCCATGGTGAAGACAAAGGTTGGATGTTCTTCTTTTGAATACATAGCACAGGGTCTAACTTTTGATTTGCTAATGCCTCAGCTATGCCCAGATGCCTTCATTTCACTCCCTTTTAGATCATTGACCAGATCTTGTATAAGACTTGATCAACTCTTTCAGCTCTTCATAATGTTTTTTGGTCAGTATAAAACTGACTGTTTGGTTCGGTATTTCATAAACTTGTGATAGATGTTGACAACTGCTGATTCGAAATGTAGTAAGTGCTTTTCAGATGTTGATACCAGAACATAAGTTCTATTTATAAGGTTATAGCTTTCGAGACTACAGATAGATAGTTGAATTGTTAACTGCTCGATGCATATCTTTCTGAATTGTAAGTCGATCGACGGTTACTATGATAAGTCACCTTTAAGCTCTTAAGTAGATCTAAATTGGTCGTGTCACACTGTTTCTCTGTAACTTCTATGACTTTTCCAAAGGAACGGTGTGGTTCTTTATCTGAATCAAAGAGTGCATAAACTCCTTCAGGGACATATCAGAAAATAGAATCAATGTGGTGCAGTGTGTGCTGCTAAAGTGATTTTCAATACATTTTTGTATATTCATGTCGATCTAAACATTCTCTCAAAAATCGTATATTCATCTTTGCTACTGCAAGCTTGACGAAGTAAGGCACAAAACTGTTCAGCCCACTTACAGTGACCGGGTCCTTGCAATTTTCGAGAAACCTATAAATTCTCATAAAATTGTATAAAGGAGATGTCTAGGGAAGATTCACTCTTTTCAGCTAAGTTCCATGTCACTTTCCAAATTAACAATTACACACACAAGACAAAAATAGATTACTTGAAAAGAATACACTAAAAGAAGGATATCTGGTAACGAAAATCCTGGAGACGACCTCGCATAATAGCATACGAAAAATTAAAAATACACGATTCTGTCATTGTATATGATATAATCGAAAGCCATGCATAAAACATGCATGACGAACATTGAATCATGCCATGTCGACCCACTGACAATAAATCACGACTAACTTTAGCTATAAAAGTTAGTGACAACTAATCAGTACTTCAAATTTTTTCGTATAGTACTACAGCTGGTTAAAGGCATCTGTGAGTTTATTTTGCTCCAATACTGGGATTGAAAAAAACAAAAATAATGAATGTCCCACTACTTGATTTAAACGACCTCGTCATCCCAAATACTTCATTCAACAGGAAAAAATTTACTCTTTCATGAACATACCTGGATTAAAATCTTTACGACATCTCTTGCATGCCTTTAACCAATCCACTGAGATAATGGGTATACCTCGTGCTCTTGAATACAATATTTTTAATGTACGCTTTATATCGTCCGTAATGACATAGTCAGCAAGTGTAGCGTCGCTTGTTTCGCACGCGCCTAACTTCCTCAAGGTGCTTGTATACACGGATGACTCAACACCACTGAAGAGTAGATAGACACATTTAGTCTAAATGAAAAATAAAAAAAATAAAAAGATCCTTTGGTAAAACATCAATACACTCGGTGATTTTATAAAAATAGAAAGGATGAACTCAGACTGAACACTGAGAGAGAATTACTTTGCATCCACTGAAGAGTAATACATGTGTAAAAACACAACACTTCTTAACTTATATTTCTACTATTTTGGTCTCCTTATATAAGTTTATATGTATATACATAATGTTTGGAGGCAATCGGCAAGTTTCGTGCTTGTTGGCACTCGTCAGAAGGGTGTGTCTGTCCCTTCCGAGATTTGGACCTGTCACCCAATGCGGCAGTCAGAGACGTTACCAGAGCTTGTATAGACCGATTGCTTCCAGCCACCTAATAATAAGAATTATCAGTGCACTTTGATGGAGAGAAACCTAGCATGGTGGCGGCAACAGTGCAAACTTGACGGATAGAATTCAGTCTACAGTAAATAAAGGATTAGACACATGACACTTGTTAGTGTCCAATCTGTCTGTCTGTTTTCAACATAGAATTTTGCACCAGTGTGCAGCAGTTCCAGTCGCCACATTTGACTTGACACAAAAAGCCAGAGAAGAAAGACAAAAGAAACACAAAATAGAAACAGTAAACAGAGATATGAGGCAAAAAGAATAGTAATATCGAAGAACTATATGGTTTTATTGGGTATTATAAGTCACAAGGAGTGGATGCGTCTGCGTCAGCCATTGAGAACCATTTTGAGCCACATCATCTATTGTCGCCAGTCATTGGTTTTTACTGCCCCGATAACCCCAACCGGGAAGTCTACACCTTCCTTGGTGGCTTAAACTAACTGTTGTGGATTTCATTGACTAATGAGGTCATGTTTTCGTTTGATCATCACTAGCTTATTTCCAATCTTATCCATCCTATGTCAGCTAACATTGCCCTTCGAGCAAAACGATGGCTTGTCATGTGTAACACGTATACTAGTCATCTCAGTCAATGTGCCTTTACAACCTCATCGACTGAATTACCCTCATTACCTAACTCTCGACACCTGACCTCAATATTATTCACCCCATTATACCAATTAATACGGGAGATAGAACGCAGACACCTATGATCAAGGACAGCTAGGCAGGCTTTTCATGTCTTCGACTTTCAATGGCTGTGTCTCACTCACAGCAATAAAAGAGAACGGAGTGGACTGCTGAGCAGTATACATGCCCTTTGGTCGATAGCTATTCAGATATCACGTCTATGCCATAGACGGTGTGAGTTGGCAAATGCAAAACTCGCTTTCTGTATCCATGTTGAGATTTCATCGGTGATCAATCCATTAGGGCTGATGCAGCTCCCCAAATAAGTGAAGTGGTCAACACGCTCAGCAACCACTTCACTCCCTATTCTTAAGCTCGGAATGAGTCAATGTAGTCCAGTGCTGTAGCATCATTTTACATTTGACGGAAACGAATCAAAGATGTGTGTCCAATCAAAGTATATATACCCATAATGGTATCTCTTTGAATATATATATATATATATATATATATATATATATATATATATATATATAATGAAACTGTATTATTTAGCAGATGAAGTTTGTAACATAACTAATCCGTGGAAGAATGCGAGACACAAACATCCACCTAACCCTTGTCAAGAACCTTTCATACTACTTTATAATGATAAACTGTAAATAGAACAGTTTATCTCAATAAACCTCCTACAATGAACATCAACAGCTACATGATTAGCGTAACGACAGAGAACACGATATAAGAGTTCGTCTACAAAAGGTAAATCAATCGAAATAAAATGTATTTGAATAAACGAGGATGATATGAGAATAATAAGGGCAGTATCAGATTCGTCAAGTGATAGCAAACATGAGACTACAGAATTCTGATTAAATGATCAGGTCAAAATACAAGTAATGAGTTCAAACTAGCCACTGTTACATTTCAAAAAGTTAATTGCCTAAACCAGTGATTCACAATTATCTGAATTAAGCTGTAATGAAATCAAAGTGCTCGAAAAAGGATTCGATTTCAATGTAGCCGTAGTTAGTGAAAAGAGCTGAAGACAACATTCAATGCAAAATCAACTCAATCCCATTGTCGCATATAAAGAAAAGATATCAACTTCTATGTTGCAGGCGATCGGGAAGCAAATCATCAAGAATGACAGAATATTCTGAAGTAGGCACAATTATTACTAAGTAAATAAACCCCCATCACTGCAGTGTAACTAATAGCTATCTTGTTCATGTGCAATATCAAATAATGGTGGTAGATTTTAGCCCTTAAAATAAGCGGAATTCGTTATTTAGCCGACAAAACATGCTACTCAGAATGTACTTAGTCGTATGAAAAAGAGAACAGGAAGCTTACCACATCGGGCTTTGTTTTCAAAGAGGTATCAGACAAATTTATGACTGATACTTCGAGAACTTTCTCTTCACTTTTCAATGAATTTGCAGTAGCTGGCCCATTTCTACCCCTTCGTTTATTTACATTTTCTCATATTTTTCAGCGTCAGTGTCAGCTACAGCAGAATTACAACTTTCTTCAGGGATAGCGTCCACTTTTACGCGAGTTTCAAATTCGTTTTTACGTAGACAACTCAAGCGACTTGACCTTCGTAAAGATTTAACAGGGGAACTAATCCTTTTCGCAGTTTCCGATTTCCGACGGATATTTCCAACTGCTTCTTCCTCAATGAGTACCTCTGTTCCATTGTAAGGACAAGCCCTCCTCTTTCTACCTACTTTAGGTTTAATACAAACGCTTTCTGTAGAATCTGAGTTGGAGAGATTCTTTGGGGATTGTCTATTGGATGTTGTGATTGATTTTCTCGATTCTCCGCATGGCTCATTTTGAAAAGCTGAATCAGTTGTTAGAGAACAATTTTTAACTGTTTTGAATTCATCGACCTGTGTTTCCTGCAATTTGCAGACACTCACACTCACTCTCATAGAAATCTCCCTATCCAATGAATTCGGAGTAAGATCAAAAAATGGCGTTAAAGATAGATGGTCAGTGGCGATATCCGATTTCTGGTAACTCTATTAATAAAAAAAACAATGATACAAAGCATTTAAGAGATCGTTTATTAGTTAGTGGCAGATATTCGTACACAAAAAACAATGCAAATCAAGTAACAACAAGATACTTATAGTTAAATAAGGAAAACAAGTGGGTCAGGAAGCTATGATATCTACGAAGTAAAGGATCACAAATAGAACTACAACTTCGCCTAGACTACTAGTTTGCCAGTTTCTAGCCGGTCCCAAGCCCGGATAAAGAGGGAGGATTGGGGCGTGGTGCTAGCAACTCCACCCCCAAAACTTAACCAAATCACTACAGAAACTTCAATACATAAATATATCAAAAATACTAAAAATATAAACAATAACCTATTTTTCGCTGGAATCGGGGAAGTGAAATGACGCAAGCTGGTGAACGCCTTCGGGAAGCCAGTCAGCCGATGTGCCTTCTTTCGATGAAAGCAATAACAAGTATGGAGACGTGGGATGTTCGTACAATGTACGAAGGTAAGGTAAGTAATGTTGACGTTAGGCGTAGAGTGTTGGGTAAAGAGGGAAAATCAATCGACGAGGCTATAAAGTTACATAGATTGAGATGGCTAGGTCACTTGCTGCGCATGCCTAACCATCGCCTCCCCCGACGAGCATTACTAGCTGATATATGTGCAGGCTGGAAATGAGTAAGTGGTGGCCAAACAAAAACATGGCATCAATCCATGAAATCCTTGACAGTTAAACTGAGTCAGGTAGGGAGATGCAGACTCCCGGGTTGGGGCCCTTGGGACTGGCTCTAAGAATCAATTGCTGGAGACAAAAGGTGACATGGCTCAAAATCGTTGTCAATGGCCAGCGCAGATGTATTCAGTCTCTGTAATCTTTCATATTTTTTTCTACCACTACCCATTCAGTTTCACTCTCATACTTGTCGAACTCTATTGATTCTCTTCACTCATCTTCTTGTCTACCTCTGTGTGCTATTTGGAACGTGGCAACTCGAACTGCTGCACTTCGGTGCCAAGTTCTATGTTGAATCCAGACAGAGACAGAACAGACAGACGAAGCTGGAACCGCTGCACAGGTAGCCACAGAAATGAGAAGATATAGAATAGAAGTGTTGGGAATCTGCGAGAGCAGATGGAACGGATGTGGAAGGTGCTAACTATCAACTGGAGAGACAGTAATCTATTCCGGTCACCAAGACGACAATCACGAACACACCAAGGGAGTGGCCATCAGGATATCACCAACAGCAGCCAAAGCTCTCATACAGTGGGAACCAATCTTCTCCAGAATGATGACAGCCAGGTTCAACTCAAAAGGAAGGAAAGTTACAGTCATTCAATGCTATGCGCCTACAAACGTCTCAGAACATGCGAAGAACGAGGATTTTTACAGACAACTACAAAACAGTAATGGACAACGTTCCAAATGGCGATATCAAAATCCTGATGGCCAACATGAATGCGAAGCTGGGAAGAGACAATACAGGAAAAGAACTCACCATGGGTCGAGAGGCCTTTGGTGAAATGAACGACAATGGTGAACTCTTCTCAGAATTCTGCGCCCTAAATGATTTTTAGTGACTGGTGGCAGTGTGTTCAAACACAAGGATATACACAAAGCGACATGGATTTCACCAGATGGACACACCAAAAACCAGATGGACTTCATCTCAATCTCAAGGAAGTGGAGACGGAGCCTACTGGACACAAGATCGGGGAGAGGGGCAGATGTGGGTTCAGACCACTATTTAGTACAAGGGTAAAACTAAAACCCTCGAGGATAACTGAGGATAGGCCACAATGCAAGTTCAACACTCAATTACTGAAGGACACAACCACAAAGGACACTTTCACTGCAACTGTCAGAGTAAAGCAGGGAACACTACGTGACATCACGGAAGAATCATGCGTGGAAGAACATTGGAACTCTCTGAAGGTGATTTTCAACGAAACGTGTTCAACGATTTTAGGTAGAAAAAAGAGACAAGACAAGGAATGGCTCTCAATGGACACTTAGAAGCTAATAGAGGAGAGGAGAATGGTGAAAGAGAAAATGATTCAATGCAAAGACGGACGAGAGAAAGAGAGGCTGAGCTCAACTTACATAACACTGGACAAAAAAGTGAAGAAGAGTGCTAGGAAGGACAAAAGACGATTCTACGACAACCTGACCAGTGAAGCTGAGAAGGCAGCAGGTAAAAATGACCTGAAAACACTATATCAGATAACCAAGTCTCTATCCGGGAAGAGATCAACACAAGTGGAACCTATAAAAGACAGCCAAGGGAACCCAATTACCAAGGAAGAAAGACAGATTAAACAATGGGTGGATCACTTCAAAGGACTCTTAAACCGACCATCACCTGCAACCCGTCCAGAAATACCAACAACAGCGCGCACAAAAATGCAAGTTGACACCAATCCTCCAACGAGAGCTAAAGTCTTGAACGCAATCAAGCTTCTGAAAGCTGGAAAAGCAGCCAGACCAGATGGAATACCCCCTGAAGGACTCACTGAAAGCGGACCCAGAGACTACAGCAGACATGCTGACTCCATTATTGCAAAAGGTCTGGAAGGAGGGAAAGGTGCCTACTGACTGGAGGAAAGGTTACCTCGTGAAACTACCATAACATAACAATTTCGCTTTTATTCCAGAAACAGTACTTGTGGTACAGTGTGGAATTTTCAGCACATATCTACAATATTGCATCTAATTTCATCATACATTTAAAAGGAGTATTATAAAAAAAAAACCAAAAAAAGAAACAGAAATAACCAAAAAAAATGCAAATAAAAATACTGAGTAAAAAAAGAAGATCAACACAAATAATGAAAAAAAAATATTTCAGTATTAGTTAGTGGAAGCTACGATATGTGTATGCGTGGTGAACAGTAACAGCTATATCATACGGGAAATTATGAGATGTTCTTAAAAAAAATGTTTATAGCCAAGATGATCAGTTAATTTGATTGAACAACACTAAGCAATCATAAGATAAACATTTCAGGTTGTGTGTTTTTTTGTCAGTACTAATGCGGTTCTTTGTAGTGGTAGTGTGAGGAATCATGCATAATACAAAATTTTTTAAGATGGTGATAGTGGCAATAACAAACAAGATTGTCAGTTAAATAGTGCCGAACAAATAACAACCTCAAAACTAATGTTACATGATGGTTAATGACGGGACAATTTTTAATAATCATAGTGATAATATAGTCGGACCCAGTAGATGTACAAAGAAGGAATAGAATAAAGAATAAAAATGTAAGCCAATGATAATAATTTTAAGCAGCTAAGTATGTTTAAGAAGGTTGTTCACTATAGAGTACAAATAAGAGAGTGTAATGGGAAATAACAAGGGCCAAAATTATGATATTAACAACAACAAACAAGGGCGACTTACGCCTCATTCTGCAAGAACTGGCGAGGAATCATGCTCCTGTCGACGCCAAGTAAAATCCTGAGTCGCATCATCCAGGAGAGAATAAAGGACGCACTGGAGACAGAACTCCGACACCCACCGGAACAAGCTGGATTCAGGAAAGGCAAATCATGTACTGACCAAATTGTAACTCTACCCATCATCATCATCATCACAGAACAAAGCATGGAATGGCAATCAAACCTCTATCTCAACTTTATACACTTTGAGAAGGCCTTCAACATACAGCGCTGACCGCAAAGTAATTTGGTAACTACTCGAGTTCAACGACGCACCTCAAATATTCATCAACCTTATTCAACAACTGTACGACAACGGAACATGTCAAGTCATCCACAACGGAAAACTCAGCGAGGCGTTTGGAGTAAACACAGGAGTCAGGCAAGGGTGCTGGCTTATTATCACCAAAGATAATCCTAATTGTGGTGGACTGACTGGAATATGCGTCAGACAGTGGGGAAACGAGAAGACAGGGATATCCTGAACCGACCGACGTGGAGAACCTAGAAGACCTGGATTTCGCGTGGCGATGACTTGTGTTTGATGTCACACAAAATCGAAGACTTACAAGCGAAAACCGACGGACAAACTGGTCGAAGAAGCAGCCGGCGAAGATAGAACTCCCAGTGAACTAAACAAGACGGAGGTCATGAAAATAACCACCAACAGCAGCAACATTCAGGTTACTTCATTCACTCAGTGATCTAGGGAGCATTGTCTCAACTACAACCAGTCGGAACGGATGAGGATGTCAAATCGAGCGAGAATCGGGAAGGTGAGCGAGAAACACATTCACTCATCAACCTGAAACCAATCTGGAAATCTTCGTCACTCAGCCAGCATCAACAACAAAATTCGGTCGGATTTTCAATACATACGTCAAGTCAGTCAGTTCTTCTATACGGATCGGATGAGAAACTTGGCGGGCGGGTCACAAAGAATATTTCCAACAGCCTGTTACAGACCAGACCTTTATCAACAACTGTCTTCGCTGGAACTATACTGATGATCAGATGGCCGGGCCGGAAAGAATCACCAACAAGAAACTATGGCTTGGAACAAACAAAACAAGAACCAATCGCCAGCCAACAAATATGCGGGAGAAAGTGGATGGAGATGGATTGGACAGGTGCTGAGGAGACCGCTGGGTGACATCGCGCGCGCGTCAGGCCATCTCTCGAGTGGAACCAGGCCGAAAGGGAAGCGGCGAGTGGGACGTCAGTGCAAGGGTGACATGGAGGAGATCGTGTGAAGAGGAGTTGAAACAGTATGGACTAACATGGATGCAGGTGATGAAAAGTACAGAAGAAGACAGAAGCAAGTGGAGACGTGCAGTTGAAGCCCTATGCTGCACTAGGAACCCAAAGGAACAATAATAATAAAATAATAAAAAAAATAGAGTTGCCGAAACATTATAAAACCTGGCATCACTGACCGACATCAACTCGGTGAATAGGTAGGTATTGAATAATATAACGGCTCAATCTTGTCAATTATACATAGAGAAGTATGCTGAATTTCTTCAAATCACTGTCGATCGTAATGGCAATTTTACTAGTTACACCTATTTTAATATCTTAAAAAATCTAAGAATTCAGCACTATCTCTACAACGTTTTTAAAGTAGAATAAAAACCTAGCGTTTTTATTTAAGTTAGTCCGTTGAAGACATTGTACTAGCGAAATTTTAACTTCTCTGATCACTTATACATACTGCTCTTTATACACACAAATCAACAACTAAGCAATTTCCGCATATAAACTTTGGTTTTTTCTTCTTCAGTGTTTGAAGAAGAGGTGATTAATTTTTAGAGAATTAGATATCGGCTACAGTCAGTGACTGTCTAGAATAGATCCCGAAATCAACAATTTTTACAGCATAGCAACCATTTTGATCGTACATAATGGCAATATTTTTCATTTTCTCATTACTCAAAAGACAAGAACATGTCAACAATATTTCAAGGGAACATCTCTGCACATTTTTTTTAAGATATAAACAGTAAAAATCTAAAGAAATATCGGACTTTTATTCTTCGGAACATGCATAATTCGTTGCACAATCAGATCGATCAGCGTTTTCATTCTTTATCACTTGCGATGACGACTTCGCTTGATGTGTGATGAGATCTGAGTCATTCCGATTGAACAGTAAGACACCTAACTCCTGTTTCGTATGTTTTTCTAACTCGAATGCATTTTCACATAAAAGTTTAAAAGACTTTGAATATGAAGTGTACGACACAAACCTTCATTGTATGTAATAAAGGTATAACTAATACATCTTTTGCCTATATTTGTAAGTCATTTACTAGCAACCTTAAAATTTTCACACAAACCAAAGGGATTTCGCATCCTCCTGAAAATCTGAAAATGAACTGTCCAGATTGATAGACGTACCTCCTAGTTTTTATTTTGCCGTATACGAAGTTTTACTCCATCCAAAAAAATCACATAATATACAAAATGTTGTCCTGGAAACGCTTTTCAAAATCTATACACATGAAAACTATACGACTACTTCTATATCAACACAATTTAAGTTGCAAAAAAGGAAATCACCTCAGTGGTTGCACTGTTCACACCTGAAACATTACACAAAACATTATCACATGGAATATGTACTGTCTGTGTAATATCATCACATATCTTTTCATTTTTGCATTCTTCAAAAGATGAGTGAGCAAGTTTACCATCTTTACTATCGTGGTTGTTACTATAAGAATGTTTCTCGAAACTTCTGTCACGAAGTACGTTTGAACGGCATTCTTCAGATGACATTACTTCGGGTTTAACCATGATATCCTAAACAGAAAAATAAAACAAATGGGAATAAATAGGCAAAATATTAGGCAATGACTAAGAATGGAAACAAAATATCATCATAGATACAGTTTATACTGACGAACTATGTCCAATTCAACTGCTTTCCACTAAGACGTATGTGTGAACTGATGATATCAAGAATGCAGAATACAGAATGCTCCAGTCCTCAAAAATGTTATACATTAATCTAATAGAAAGTGATAAAAACATGAAATGATCACGAAACGTACACAAACGAGTTCAACTACACCGCTTTTGGAGGAATATAAAATCACATTTCCACTATATAAGCACAATACATTCCGTGATATAGGAGGAACCTCAATGGGATCCACTAAGAAATGCAAAAAATAGCAAAACCCAATATCAGATTTGTGTACAGAAGGAAGAGGTAGATAGATGGAATCGGAAAATAATCAAGGTTGGGTACAAACCTTAACAACCTCATAACGCTAGGACATTTCATAAAATTGGAAAGGATCACCAAGGAATAAATACTGAATGACTGGTTTCAAAAAAGAACTATGCACAGATGTACATCAGATCGAGATGTCACACTCCATGTAGCAAACGTAGAAGAGAAGAAGGATATAAAAAAGATAACCACCAGAAGTGTGATGGGAAAAGAACAGTTATATGAAAGAACAACAGAATTTTATTGGATTTGACAAATAGAAAAAAGTGAATGCATCTCTGCCATTATCAAGAACGATTTTAGAGCCACTTCACTAATTGTTCCAGCCGTTGGTTCTTGCCATCCCAAGGTCCCCAACCACTAAGGAAGCCTACGCCTCCCAAAGAGGCTGGCTTAAACTAACTGTTGTGGATTTCATTGACTAATGAGGTCATGTTTTCGTTTGATCATCACTAGCTTATTTCCAATCTTATCCATCCTATGTCAGCTAACATTGCCCTTCGAGCAAAACGATGGCTTGTCATGTGTAACACGTATACTAGTCATCTCAGTCAATGTGCCTTTACAACCTCATCGACTGAATTACCCTCATTACTGATATGTATCCTGATAGGATCCCACATATTTTGGTATTGACTGTTAATCTTGCATATATGGTATATTATCATTCTCACACATTTTGGTATTGACTGTTAATCTTGTATATATGGTATATTATCATTCTCACACATTTTGGTATTGACTGTTAATCTTGTATATATGGTATATTATCATTCCCACACATTTTGTTATTGACTGTCAATCTCGCACATATGGTATATTATCATCTCTCACGCACTTTGTTATTGGCTATTAAGATCAATTATTTCAAATGCTGTTAGCTGTCCATATTGTTGTAAAATGTATAAATACCATGGCTTTCTTTATCGTTGTTGCACTTCAATACACAGTCACAGTCCAGCCTTTGTCTTTTGATATTTGCGTGCTTTACTAAATCGGAAGGTACGACAAGCAGATAGGCAGATTAGTTCAGGCGCAGACAGGGCAAGGTGAAAACGTCTTCATTCAATTCCCTACAGTTATAACAAATTGGCGACGGGGTTTTACCTTAATTCAGTGCAGTTATAACAATACTTAATTCATCGCAGTTATAGCAAGCAAACGACGACAGTTTTTATTCTGTTCAGCGCAGCTATATAACATTTTTGACTGTGTTAATTACAACCCAATTACAATGTCTATCTCTCTGGACGATCTCAAATCTATCTTGCAGCAGCAGCAAGTTCAGAATGAAGCAGCTCAACTAAAATTAATCGAAGCTCTCACTCAGAAGCTGTCCATTCAAGTTCCATCAACATCTCATTCTGACAAATATGAAAGCATCTCAAATTCCATCAGTGAGTTCAACTACGACCCAATATCTGGTCTCGTATTTGATGCATGGTTCAATCGTTACGAAGACGTTTTCCGTATTGAATGCTACATGTTTGATGATGCTGCCAAAGTCCGATTGTTACTAAGAAAACTTGGTACTGTTGAGCACAACAGATATGTTAACTTCATTCTGCCCAAGAACCCACGTGAGTTATCATTCGATGAGACAGTCACCGTTTTATCACAAATCTTTGGTGAACAGTCATCCATGTTTAATATTCGGTATCAATGTTTTCAGTTGACAAAAATGCCTTCCGATGATTATGTGACTTACGCTGGCAAAGTGAACAAGGAATGTGAAAGGTTCAAACCACACGAAATGACATCAGATCAGTTCAAGTGTTTGATTTTTATTTGTGGGTTGAAGAACCCAGAAGATACTGACATACGAACTCGACTTCTGTCACTTGTGGAACAAGACCCGAAAATGACTTTACAAATGGTGACAGCAGAATGCCTACGTTTAATCAACTTGAAGCACGATACTGCTATGGTGGAGTGCAAACGACAGTCGTCTGAATTTGGTTCGATTAACACAGTGAAAAGTCCTCCGATCACCGTTAAGCACACAGAACGTCAGTCTCAAAATTCAGCTAAACCTCCTTCAGTGTGCTGGCACTGTGGTTCGTGGCATTTTGTCAAGTTCTGTCCTTTCAAGAAACATAAATGCCGTAATTGTCACCGTTTTGGACATAAGGAGGGTTACTGTACACCGCAGAAAAATTCTTCGGTGAGGAACAGAAGTAGTCGTTTCAAGCCGAAACAATCTCCTCGAGTACAGACCGTTTTCACAACTTCCAAAGTCGAGTTCGCCAGCAAACGTAAGTACATAACACTAGATATTAACGGCAAACGTATTCGTCTTCAGTTGGATACGGCATCAGATATCACCGTAATTTCCCGAACTACGTGGCGCAAACTTGGTTGCCCACAGATTCTGCCGACCGAGCATGTCGCCAAGAATGTCTCTGGAGATATACTGAAACTCGTGGGTGAGATAAATTGCCAGGTTCAGTTTGGTGAGCATCACTTCAATGGTGTATGTTACGTTACAAACTACCATGATTTGAATTTGCTTGGTCTTGACTGGTTAGACAAGCTCCATATCTTTAATGTACCATTAAATTCAGTATGCTCTAATGTTTCGTCTTCACCACACAACGTTGTTCCCGGAGATGTATCTGATCAATCTCTCTTGCAACGCCGTCGTCAAAAGCACGCTTCTGTCTTCCAGGACAAACTTGGTTGCTGCAAACTGTTTGGCATCCAGCATATTCGTAGCCCCCCGTATCATCCCCAATCGAATGGACAGACTGAACGTTTCGTCGACACCTTTAAGCGTGCTTATGCAAAAGCGAAGGGGGAGGGAACAACAGAAGAAATTTTGGATAAATTCTTGCTGCATTATCGTACGAATGAAAAAGGACAGTTATGTGTCAGACACACAGATCACGCTCTATCCAGTACCACGCAAAGGTCAACTCGACAAAGAAGAGCTCCGAAACCTTTTCAAATAGATCCAAAAAGCAAGTCCTACACTCTTTACGGGGAGAGGTGATAGGATCCCACATATTTTGGTATTGACTGTTTAACTTGCATATATGGTATGTTATCATTCTCACACATTTTGGTATTGACTGCTAATTTTGTATATATGGTATATTATCATTCCCACACATTTTGTTATTGACTGTCAATCTTGCATATATGGTATATTATCATCTCTCACGCACTTTGTTATTGGCTATTAAGATCAATTATTTCAAATGCTGTTAGCTGTCCATATTGTTGTAAAATGTATAAATACCATGGCTTTCTTTGTCGTTGTTGCACTTCAATACACAGTCACAGTCCAGCCTTTGTCTTTTGATATTTGCGTGCTTTACTAAATCGGAAGGTACGACAAGCAGATAGGCAGATTAGTTCAGGCGCAGACAGGGCAAGGTGAAAACGTCTTCATTTAATTCACTACAGTTATAACATATCCACATATATATATATTTATGTGTGTGTGTATGTTGGTCTCTCTTTCTGTTTGCTCTCTTAGTCTGTGACCATTTCACTGGTATGAACTTGTCTCCTTTAACAATGTATATTCTCCTTATATTATATTATATATAATATGAGTGTTTGTTGACAGTCCGTTGCTTAGTGACATATATCCATATATGGTTGTTCACATGTCTGCTATATTCGCTATGTATATTTGGATCGACACTCCATTATAATTAGCCATTCATGTTAAGACTGTCTAATGATTTTTCCCACGCTTTGTCTGGAACACTCATATTTATTTCGCATTCACAATCTTGTGACTCTACTTTAATTACTTACCATTTTGGTGTGAGACCATTTATTTTCGTCTCCTTGTGTTTGGACAATAGAAGTATCATCGCAAACCTAGTGGTCTTCTGATTTCCGCCTTCTCGCGTCAGGACTATTAGTTTCTCGACCAGTCCATAACAATAATTCAGCGACGAGTACATAACAATTACCTAACTCTCGACGCCTGACCTCAATATTATTCACCCCAATATACCAAATAAAACGGGAGATAGAATGCAGACACCTATGATCAAGGACAGATAGCTGGGCTTTTCACGAATGTAAGTGTAGAACTTGGGCACTGTGGTGGAATCAAATTCCACATCAGAAAAGTTTATTTTAATAATCACACAGTGATCCAGTATTAATAACTGGCTTTTCATGTGGAGCTGTGTTGTTGAAGCCCTATGCTCCGCTCGGAACCCAAGTGAACAATAATAATAATATAATTTTATGTCTTTCCTCCTTACAATGGTCATGTCTCGCTCACAGCCATAAAGGAGGACGGGGCAAACTGCAGAGCGATACACACCTTTGTTCGATAGGTATTCGGATACCACGTCTACACCAGAGCTGGTGTGAATTCGCAAATGCAAAACGAGCCTTCTATATCCGTGTGAGATTTCGTCAGCGATCAATCCACTGAGGCTGGCTGGACTGATACATCTTCCCAAATAAGTGAAGTGGTCAACACGCTCAGCTACCACTTCACTCCCTATCTTAAAGACAGGAATGAGTCAATTTAGTCCTGCAGCATCTTTTACATTTGACAGGAGTGAATCGCCTGGGTTTTGTCTTATTGCATAAGATTCCACTCAATCTTTTGTTTTTGATTTTCACTCCATAAGTTGAACTCACTGTTAAGTTTCCAAATCTACTAAATTAAATTATTCTATCCACTTTTATAATTTTACTTCATTATTGACTCCCACCCTCCTGAATTCTCCGCTATGATACGTAAAAATTAACTCTGTTTTTCTGTCTTGTATTCTGTCTCCAATCCATCCTTCTGTCCGAGAGAAATCAGAACTACGCCCATTTATCTAACTACTAAATAAATAGTTACTCTTTTAACACTGAATAATTGTTTGCTTACATCATCTTTGAAATTATGTTGCCTATACTTTCTATCTATAACTTGAAGTCATTGTATAAAGTATGCTCGGAAATTTCGCAACTGGTGATTTATTTATTTAGGATATACGCAGTTGAGAATCCATGAAATAAAACGAGCTCGTAATATCCTGCAATTATGTTCGTTCTTTCCTTATTTAAACTGATAAAGGAACCGGCTGTGTGAAAAACTGCATTTGTCAGCGTCTTCACCTAGGAGCAGGACTATACCATCTGTATATTCCAAGTTAATGAAACTATTATTTACTAGTGTAAACAAGTCAATCCATTTTTTTATATTTTTTTTTTGATTTACAGCTTGATTCCACACTGTATTTTTGGTACAAGTATGGAATTTTCAGCACGGATATCGGTAGCCCAAATTTTCCAGGCCGACCATAGATATCAGGTGTGCGCCGGCGTGGGCTCGAACCCCGGACCATGTGCATGGTCGGCGAGAGTCCTTACCACTGTGCCACCGACGCACCATGAATTGCCGAAGTCAGTTCGAGTGAATTCCATTAGTACATCTATGATGAAATTAAACAGAAAGGGGACACTGGGTATTCTAGATGGACACCACTGGTTATCATCACCTCATATGACAACCTAGCTGCATGAGTTCGAGTAGAGTGCCTTGATCAGCATGATGCTACTGAAAACAGATTGAGTATTTCGCCAGTACCCAAATTTTAATTTCACATGAAGTGAATCTTATAGCTCAAGCTAAATGTTTCGTGAGCATGATCGTAAAACATTTAGCCACAGCACCAAGAGGAAGTATTTTCAGACTCATCCCAGACTCACAAAAGGATAAGTAATGATGTGTAGAATTATTTTCGCTGTCATTAGCACGGTAATGCTGGCTACTGATGTGCCGGTAATTCCTAAGGACTGAAGTTAGACCCCGTGTAGATTAAAAGATAAGAGTAGATACTTGAAGTGAAACGTATCAGTTTAAATAACCAAACCAAAAATTGGAAATGGAAATAAAGCAGAAGCGCGATGAAATATGAAACGGTGAATATAGTGGACGGTATATAGAAGAATTCTACAGACAACTACAGGCAACTATGAACAATACTCCAGCTGGCGACATGGAAATACTAATGGGAGACATGAACGCCAAACTGGGACCAGACAACACTGGAAGAGAACTCATAAAGGGTAGAGAAGCTCTCGGAGAAATGAATGAAAACGGAGAACTCTTCGCCGACTTCTGAGCCTTCAACGAACTAGTGATTGGTGGCAGTGTATACAAACACAAAGATATCCACAAGGCTACATGGGTGTCACCAGATGGGCAAACCAAAAACCAAATTGACTTCATCCCAATACTGCTCAAGGAATTTGAGGCACAGCCTACTGGACACAAGAGGAGCAGACGTTGGCTCAGACCACTATCTCGTACAAGGGACAATCCAAATCAAATTAAAAGCTTTTAGGGAATCAGGAGCTGCAGATAGACCACAAGCCAAGTTCAGCACTCAAAAGCTGAAGGACCAAGATACAAAGGACATCATCATTGCAAACATAAGGGAAAAAGCCGAGACACAAATCAACACCAGAGAAAAGGTCAGCGTCGAAAAGCATTGGAACAACTTGAAAACGGTGTGGAGTCAAACCTGCATAGAAATTCTAGGCAGAAAAAAGAGACAGGACAAACAGTTTCCACTACGAACGCATGAACACTAATAGAAGAGAGAAAGACAGTGAAACAAAAGATTATTCAGTGCACCGACGAGCAACAAAAACAAGAGCTGAATGCAAGCTACAATACACTGAACAAAAGAGTGAAGAAGAGTCCCAGGGAAAACAAAAGAAAATAATATGAAACCATGGCAAACGAAGCAGAACAAGCTGCAGGCAAAGGAGACCTCACCACACTCTAACAAACAACTAGGCACCTATCGGGAAAAAGTTCGACACAGATTAAGCCAGTAAAGGATGACAATGCAAAGTCAATCACCAAAGAGGTGGAGAAAAGAAAACAGGACTGAACGCTTCAAAGGACTTCTAAGTCGACCTCCACCTGCAACGCGCCCAACAATACCAGCAACGGAAGCAGAACTACCAGTGAACATCGACACCCCGACGAAATCAGAAGTCCTGAATGCAATCAAGATGCTAAAAGCTGGAAAAGCACCAGGACAACATGGAAACCCAGCAGAAGCTTTGAAAATAGACCCAGAGACAACAGTGGACTTGATGACGCCATTGCTAGAGAAGGTATGGAAAGAGAGCAAGGTACGTGAGGATTGGAAGGAAGGATACTTATTCAAACTACCAAAGAAAGGAGACTTAAGTCAATGTAAAAACTGGCGCAAAACTATGCTCTTGTCCATCCCAAGCAAAATACTAAGCCGCATCATCCCGGAGAGAATCAAACACGCTAACCCGGATAAAACACTTCGACCGGAACAAGCTGGATTCAGGAGAAACAAGTCATGTATTTATCAAATCGCCACACTACGGATCATCATTGAACACAGCTTGGAATGGCAGTCACCTCTCTATCTCAACTTCATCGACTTTTAGAAGGCCTTCGACAGGGTCGATCGAGTGGTCATTTGGCAACTACTTCGCTACTACGGGGTCCCATCGACAATTATACATCTCATCCAACAGTTGTACGACAATGCTGCATGCCAAGTAATCCACAACGGGAAACCTACGGAAGCCTTCGAAGTGAGGACGGGAGTGAGGCAAGGCAGTCTACTATAGCCAATGATCTTCCTGATTGCAGTAGACTGGATAATGCGACAGACAACGGCAACCAACGAGGGAACGGGCATAAAATGGACTCACACAAAAGACTCGGAGGATCTGGACTTCGCCGATGATATATGTCTGATTTCCCACAAACTGGAAGATATGTAAGTGAAAAGCAACCAGTCGGCAGAGGAAGCATCAAAGATAGGACTTCAGGTGAACATAGAAAAAACAGAGGTGATGAAGATTCCTAGCCAACATCAACAGCAACAACAACAACAGACAACAATCAGCATAAGTGGGAAGAACCTGAAAGAAACAACCTCCTTTACCTACCTACCCAGGAAGCATCGTTTCAACTACAGGCGGAACTGACGAGGATATCAAAGCCAGAATCGGAAAAACAAGACAAGCTTTCATTACTCTTAAGTCTGTGTGGAAGTCAACAACACTCAGAATCAAAAATGAGATCCGGATTTTCAACTCCAATGTGAAGTCAATGCTACTATACGGACCAGAGACTTGGTGAGTCATAAAGAGCATCTCAAACAAACTTCAGACCTTCATTAACAGCTGTCTTCGCTCAATACTCAAGATCAGATGGCCAGAAAAGATCAACAATAGCGATCTCTTGGAGCGAACCAACCAGGAACCGATTGTGAAGCAAATGGGCAGGAAGAAATGGAGATGGATTGGCCATACACTGAGGAAACCAGCAAGTGACATCACTAGACAAGCCTTCGAGTGGAACCCGAAAGGGAGGCGGCGAGTTGGTCGTGCAAGGGTGACTTGGAGGAGGTCATGCGAGGAGGAGATGAAAGCATGTGGACAGACCTGGAGCGGGGTGAAAAAGTTGTCAGAAAACAGAAGACAATGGAGACGCGCAGCTGAAGCCCTATGTTCCTCTAGGAACTAAAGGATACAATAATAATTATATATATATATATATATATATATATATATATATGGCATTTTATTCATAGTTGTCTTCACAGTAACCTATGGTTACACCCTTGAGGATCTCAGCTGCACAATGTATGCATTTCTCGGTAAACTCTACGACTTCATGAATAAACATTTGTCGTAACTTGAATATTATTGGAAATAGCAATTAATGAACTTAGGTTCTTTGGTGGTGTACTGTTGACCGTAATGTATTCTGTAGCCATTGAGGTTTTGTTTCGGTGAATTACAGAGTGGAGTGTCTGTTTATTTTCAGACTACCTGTAGATAACGTGTTCTGCTTTATTTACCTCTTGAAGACAGTTTTGATCTCATTTTGGGGGGTGGGGTGGAATATTCTTGTTAATTCTTAGGTCTTCACTAGTGGTCTTTGTTTAAGTAGTTTTTAATGAATAGTCTTTATCTTGTACCCGAGAAACTATTGGACTGTATAAGTTGACTGAAAATATTGTTGAGGTTTCTTCATGTTTTTGATAGGACTTATTATTTTATAACAACAGACTTTACCACGTTCAATTGTATTTTGACATTGCCGGAATATCAGTTTTGACTGCGTGACTCACGGAGGCTTGATAAACTATACAAAAGAATCGTATTGGTTTGGATTCATTAACTGGTTTCCTGAGTTCAAACCAAAATGCTTGAAGTTTGATTGTTATAACTATGTACAAGTTAGGTTGAACTTTAACTTACTACTAACAAACAGTGAGCAGTTATCAGCAATAGTCTCGCACAACGAACTGTAAGTAGGACATGCAACACATGTTCCATTGACAGTACTATGGCTTATTGTCCCACAAACAAAATAAATGCTTTATGTAATGCTGTAGGGTACAATCAGTACAAACAGGTAAAATAAGTAAATATCTGTGAGCTCAAAAGAAACATACTTCACTGCCACACTTTTCTGAGAAATTAGTATCTAACGCTTGTGATTTTCTTGAAATCATGTTAGCAATATTCTTTTCAGTTTCATTAACCAGCTGCACAACAAACGATTTACAAATTGAATCCACTTTAGGCTCATCATTTTCATTAAGCATATCAGGGAATATTGACGCGTGCTTCTGTGACTCATCTTCTTCAAATATGCTGTAGAGGAAAGAGGTAAGCAAATAGTACACAAGAAATGCGCTCATGAACAAGGTAAGGGCAACCATAGAAGGGAAACATACTCACCAAGATGCGAAACAAATGCAGAGGTATTCAGTTTTCAACAAAAATAAACGGTCGTTAATATTTAATCCAATATTTTTAGAGATTTACACGAATATATCTACAGTATAAGGAGCACGTGCTCACCCTAGTAGCTATATTTTATACACCCTCATCGGTTGATTCTGAATACTTCGAAAATATCTCTGCTTCCTGAGAACTCTCTTGAGAATCCGAAACTGTACGTGTAACACAACTGTCAAACATTACATACAAGTTAATACACTAAGCTATGAACCCTACCTAACAAAAAATAACTACGTCAACATGTAAGACAAGATTCGACGATGTTTTCTCTACAAGCACGAGTCATATCTTCCTTAATGGGAATAATCCAGAAGAAAAAGAGAATAGAAACTATTGAAACTACTAGTTCTACTACCAGATTTGGTTAAATATAAACACCGAGAGATATGCCACAACAAATAATGAAATGACAACAGAAGCTGAGAAAGAAATAAAACAGTGTTAAACAAACAGTACAAAAGTAGCTACGCATGCTTATTAGAAGAACTCAAAAGGAAGTTTATTCATTCGTGCCACTTTCAGGAAGACAAGAGTCACCGGTTTCGACAACTACCAAAAGGCCTCCCCATATACATACACAGTTCATCTATTCACGGCCTCCTCTCCATCTACTAGTTCTTGTCCCACTGCTAGTTCCCCTCACAAACCATCTCTTCAAATTTTTCTAACTCTGAAACCAACGTAACGTCCTTATGACTTCCTTGAAACAATACTACAAACATTAATTTCGAGCTACTGACATCGACCTAGAGAAAAGATTACACAAGTGAAACTTCTGGCAACTCTGGCCTTTGATGACTGTGGTACAGATGAGGTACGTATACAAGATTCAAGTTTAGCTATTCACTCAACTCCACCTGGTTTACATAGTGAATAGACAGAAGTCTCTTCGGAAATATCAGGAAATTCTCTCGCTTGTTTCCGTTCAGGAATAGCAACAACTGTTCGAAAATAAGTTCATTTAATAAACTGCACTACTGTATCTTATGAGATGAACTGTTTTTTTTGTGGGTTATCCTACGACTTAAACGACCAACTAACCTGTATGTACTCCTCAAACATTTCATCATGGTTTTAGTAAACACAACATGCTCAGCAATTTAGATTCCTATTATTACAAAGGGTGTGTAATGGAAACATGACTCATAAGATTTAGTATAAAAGACTGACGGTGTCAGCCGTGTTACCTGTTTATCTAAATACAGTGAAGTGAATGTAAAAATTCTAGCTAATTAATCATCCTGTACTTGAATTGCTTATCAAGATGTTTATACTGTCAGCCGTAATAAGTTCTCCGTAAAGGAGAAAGACTCAATATAATCGTAGGATATATAATAGCAACCACGCCTTCTGCTGACATCATACATCCAATCGCAGTTAAAACTGTAGCTGGCCTGCAGTCTCTGAGTATTCTTTTCTACAGTACTCGTTAACAATAACAAAAACAAGGGAAAGTTCTAATGCAATGAAGATAGGTTGAGTTATAGTGAACAATATAGAACTTTTCGAAGTACAGGAAGAAAAGTTGTATCATATCAATACATTATAACTGGAAAAAGGGCTGAAGGCTAGTCGAAAATAAAGAACCTTGCATACCTTTTATCTGAGACTGTTCTTATCAAGTCACTCTCTTGTATACTTGATACTGACTCCTCAGCTACCGTACAAGCAGATGAATGGACAGTAGAATCATTATGCAGAGACTGGACAATAGAACCTGGATCAGAGTCTCGTGCCAGCACTAGGTTTGTTCGACTATATCCACAAGGTGTAGAACTTTGTTTGTTCAACAAGGACATCGGTGTGGCCAGAGTAGTGTCGTAAGATAAATGTCGGTTTTCGCTTGATTTAGTAGATAATGCCACAGTAGTTTGGCTTGTATTGGATTTGATTGATAGATTAACTTTCAAATCTAGTGGGAGAAATTGGGAAACTGATAGAAGCTGTTCCAAATCAGTAAAAACAATCACCTCACATTAAAGTCAACAAGAACTGCATCAATACAATGATAGATACATGTTTCATCCTTTTTATAAAGATTGGAGACAACCAAACAAGTCATACTCTTTCTACTCTGAACACAGCTTTCTTCTAATTAAAAATGGATATTAACCATCCACACATAAATGACTTCCAATATGTTCTTCACAACAAATAGTCGACTTTCGTTTGTTGACATGCATGAGAGACAAGAGAGAAAACTATTCACTTTTTCTATTTGCATAATAGTTGTATGTTTGTAAACAGGTGTAGTTTTAGCACCAACGTTTCTACACGTTTGTCAGTACAATATATTAGCATGATACCGAAACCGTGTTTTCAAAATTTTATAAGTAATGAAAAGTTTAATAGCCTTCCATGGGAGAGAAGACAGATAACATCGAATGAGTAGTTCGTACACAACACGCTACTGCACACCTTTTAAACAATTCCTAAAAGTAAAAAAGTAAGTGTCCAAAATTGGTCTTATCTTCAAGTGTTGGTTTGTAGGGATTTGATTAATTGGTCACAGGATTTCATCAGGAGCTGACATCAGTTAGAGAACCACTGGAAAGCTTGGGAGTACTGGACATCTGTTTCGTCCTAGCCTGGGACTCTTCATCAGCACACGCCCACCTTCTGGTTACAAGGCTAGCGAGCTCGTAGACCATTAAGCCACTGGGACCCGATCCAATGGCCGATGAATTCGAACTTCTGCCAATTCATGACATAGCGCGACCGCTAGCCAAAGTCTTCGGGGGAGATCGTGTGAAAAGGAGTTGAAACAGTATGGACTAACATGGATGCAGGTGAAAAGTATAGCAGGAGACAGAAGCACGTGGAGACGTGCAGTTGAAGCCCTATGTTCCACTAGGAACCCAAGGGAACAATAATAATAATGTATTAGAAGGCTGAAAAGGAACGATATTATATACTTATGGTGTGGCTCGACTTCCAACCAGTGGTTCAACGTTTCGAATCCCTCTCCATCTACTGGGATTATGGCAGCCAACTAGTACCAATAGCCCTGAAACATAGTAGGTGTGGTTATTTGCCAAATGCATGGGACAGTAAGTGGTTGTTGAGTAACATTTCCTTTTCTCAAAATATCAGTGTGCTACGCTGAGTATAATTTCGTTATATTGCAAATGAAAAGTGTGTTATACCTGGATGAATTTCTTCATTATTTGGAGGGGCGTCGCGTTCGCGTCTACCCTGATGGACTTCAGAAATGTCTGCTTCCAACTTCGGTCGCAAAAGTGGTGGTGAACCAGTACAATAATCTTTGTGAAATTTGTTTTCTTCAGATTCTAAATTTGTACTATTTGACGAATAGGGTGGACGTAGAATGAAATAATTTGAATTCGGCAAAAGATCACAAGGAACTTCACCAACATCCATAACAACCTCTGATAAAAGATTTTCACTAAGTACTGAACTGTCAGTTTCCATATCCAACACTCGTTCACTCGATATACTGGACTTCACAAGTGCATCAGGTCCCGTATCCGAATCCCTTTCATTATATTTCTACAATAATTTTTGAAAATAAAATAATCCAGGTGAGACAATTGATGAAATATTGACAAACAAAAGATTAGTCAGTTAAAGGTATAATTATGAGTATCCACAGTATGGATATCTAAAAGTTACACAAAGAATATTAGGCGCAGAAAGACTGACTGTTTTTTAACACAGCATGTCACAAAGAAATTAACCAGTTCCAGTATGAGCCAAAAAAGAAACTGTCTCCAGTCGCTGACTGATATGTATCCACATATATATTTATGTGTGTGCGTATGTTGGTCTCTCTTTCTGTTTGCTCTCTTAGTCTGTGACCATTTCACTGGTATGAACTTGTCTCCTTTAACAATGTATATTCTCCTTATATTATATTATATATAATATGAGTGTTTGTTGACAGTCCGTTGCTTAGTGACATATATCCATATATGGTTGTTCACATGTCTGCTATATTCGCTATGTATATTTGGATCGACACTCCATTATAATTAGCCATTCATGTTAAGACTGTCTAATGATTTTTCCCACGCTTTGTCTGGAACATTCATATATATTTCGCATACACAATTTGTGTGAACTACTTTACTTACTTACCATTTTGGTGTGAGACCATTTATTTTCGTCTCCTTGTGTTTGGACAATAGAAGTATCATCGCAAACCTAGTGGTCTTCTGATTTCCGCCTTCTCGAGTCAGGACTATTAGTTTCTCGACCATTTTCTCACGCATTTTGGTAGTGACTGCTAATTTTGTATATCATCATTCTCACGCATTTTGGTAGTGACTGCTAATCTTGTATATATGGTATATAATCATTCCCACACATTTTGTTACTGACTGTCAATGTCGCACATATGGCATATTCTCATTTCTCACACACTTTGTTATTGGCTATTAAGGTCAATTATTTCAAATGCTGTTAGCTGTCCATATTGTTGTAAAATGTATAAATACCATGGCTTTCTTTATCGTTGTTGCACTGCAATACACAGTCACAGTCCAGCCTTTGTCTTTTTATATTTGCGTGCTTTACTAAGTCGGAAGGTACGACGAGCAGATAGACAGATTAGTTCAGGCGCAGACAGAATAAGGTGAAAACGTCTATCATTCAATTCCCCACAGTTATAACAATTGGCGACGGGGTTTTACCTTAATTCAGTACAGATATAACAATTGGCGACGGGGTTTACCTTAATTCATTGCAGCTATAACACAGACCATAACAATAATTTAGCGACGAGTACATAATACTGGCCCTCAGCATACCAAGGACCCAAACTATGCAGCCTACACCTACTCACTTTGCTAGCGCAAACCAACTGTTAAAGTCTTCATGAACTCATGTCAACTTCCGGTATGAAAACCCATAGCCTTTCTCCAACCGATTGCTCGACAAGGAAGGCGGTGGTTTGTCATGTGTAGCAATTCCAATCAATGCAGTTCCACAAACTTTTAGATAGACTTACCCTCCTTAACTAACTCTCGACGCCTAACCTCAATACTACTCACCTCATTATACCACTTAACGCGAGAGATAGACCACAAACATCTGTGGCCAAAGGCAGCTGGCCCATCATATCTTCCACTTCCAATATTTATCATAATCATAAAGAAGGACACAGCAAACTTGATATGTATCCATTTATATATATATATATATATATATATATATATATATATATATATATATATATATATATATGTTGGTCTCCCTTTCTGTTTGCTCTATTAGTCTGTGACCATTTCACTTGTATGAACTTGTCTCCTTTAACAATGTATATTCTTCTTATTTTATATTATATATAATATGAGTGTTTGTTGACCGTCCGTTGCTTGGTGACATATATCCATATATGGTGGTTGTTGACATGTCTGCTATATTTCGCTATGTATATATGGATCGATACTTCATTATAATTAGCCATTCATGTTAAGACTGTCTAATGATTTATTCACACACTTGTCTGGAACATTCATATATATTTCGCATTCACAATTTGTGTGACTTACTTACCACTTTGGTGTGATACCACTTATTGCTTCTCCTTGTGTTTGGAAAAATAGAAGTATCATCGCAAACCTAGTGGTCTTCTGATTTCCGCCTTCTTGCGTCAGGACTATTAAATTCTCGACCAGTACATAACAATAGTTTAGCGACGAGTACATAACAAAACTATTGTGCAGTACACACTTCTCATGAAAGATAGTCCGATATAACGTCCACACCACAGATGACATAGGTTGGCGAGTACATCCGTGTTGATTTTTCGTCAGCAATTAGTCTATTAGGGCTGATGTACCTTCCAAAATAAGTAGAATGGTTAACACACTGAACCACTTCACTCCCTATATTTAAGCTAGGAGTAAGTGCTGATCATTTCTGCAGCATTATCTTACATTTCACAGGAGCTAATAGCATGCCAAACAAACTGCCAATAATTATGCATTTTCTGAAATCTGGCGAATGGTGAAGATGTGATATATACAACCTCTTCATGACCTAAAGTCTACCTCGTTTCTCCGGGTTTGTGTCATTTAAGCACTGCTCAGTCCACGCACCATAATTGAACACAGAATATCCGATGCTATATCGGTCCTCCCTACAACTACCCCAAGAAGCCTTGTCTACCTTTTTCATAAAATGAATGGGATAACCAGTCACTTACATCGGTCTAACGGAACTATCTCTGATTCTCAGAAATCATCTCATATCTTAAGTAACCTAGACAATATTTTGTCACCACCGTCTTTATACACCACTGGTGTCACTTTACTAGTTCCTGCTGCTTTGCTTCGATCCATACTAGAAACAATTTCACCAAACTTAGGCATCTCGCAGACATTCCACATCTATTTGCCCATTGTCGAATTCACATAAAAAAGACTCCGACTGACTGGCTTCTTGAAAAATCTCACCTGCCAACTTCAAATGTTGAGTGAATGATACTGTTCAGTCGCCTAGCTTGAACAGGTGAAGCGATATACAAACAAAGGAGCCACTATGTGATCGTGGACTGATATAGCCAACATAGCATATTTCAGCTTTTTACTTGCACAGAAATATACCAGTTTATTTACTACTCTCTAGTGTACAAAATGTGATGAAATACTTGAAAATGACTAACCTTCGACTGAACATTTTCGCCCGGTGAGTTTAGAATACTACGCTGACGAAACTGCAAAGTACAATTAACCTCACCGAAATGTACACTATCTCCATTCCTCAGTTCATAACTCGTCCTCGACTTTAACCGTAAATCGTTTCGTTTAGTTCCATTCAACGAATCTAGGTCCGTTATGGTACAGATACCATTTTCGTCCAACTCAAGTGTAGCGTGGTTTCTTGAAATAGTCTAGCACAAAAGAAAAATACGTATGACATTTCATCTGTGTATATTCTCATTCGTTAATTGATGTGCGATTTCAACGTAGAACACAGTGGTGCACCTGTTCAAGTTGCCACACAGCATACTGCACACGAATGCACAGAAAAGAAAACAAAAATGAACTACAATAAGCAGAAGTGTATGGCGGAAAGGATAATTACATGGACAAACATAGCGACTTGATGGATCTGAGGTATTACAATGATTGAATGCATATGCGTCATTGAGGACGATTGTGATCCACATCCTCAATTCTCAAGCCACTGGTTCTTAGCATTGGACAGACAGTCTATCTTTGCTCAGGAGCCTTCAAGAGTACCAACCACCAATGATCAAACATGAAACCTTGAATTCAAGAGGCGAATGAGGTATCGTTCCGCCACTGGGTTGAAATTTAATGACTCACTAATGCTAATTCGCAATATATCAGCACTGTCATTGAATGCGATTCATAGGCATTTGTTTCTATAAACATGATAGACTGCAGTCGTCACTCCTCATCAGAAAGGAAAAGTTGTTCAGTGCTTCATGGCTGTTCCTGTTCCTTTAATGGTATCGGTTCGTGGCGAAAATTAGCTTGAAATGAATCAAATCTATGCAAACCTAGAACCTCACAAGTAAAGTCGCAACGCGCTCATCAACCTATTCTTTGAAAATTACTAATTATTTGGAACACTTTGTTTCTCAGTTACTCCTTATTTTGTGCAAAATTATGCACGATATCGTCCAACTGTTTAATTTTAGCAATTATTTATACCCTATAATTGTTTTATTAGTTTTCTTGGTTGATTATCATTCCCTTGACATGTTTATATTGACTAATTACTGTTAACTAACTTACCACAATTAGATTCGTAAATTTTCCATATTACATTAAAACTACTATATATTTTAATGTGAAGCCATAGATGGAGATGTAATAGAAAAGTAAATATTTCTTCGTCCACCCCTTTTGTCATTGAAATCCCCGGTGGCAGCATATATATTCATAAAAATTAAGGAACGCCAAATCTTTAGAAAGTTTAGTCCCGCTCGTACGTTAGGATGGAGATATGCGGACAACACATTCACTCAAATTCCACCACTCGAACTGTGTAAATTACAAATCGCTAATCAATTTGCAAATTTTGAATTTGATTTATAGCACAACCAGTTCGACCACGTAGCTAATAAGAAATCGAGTGGTTTGAATGAATTTGGCATTGAGCTGAGTTAAATCAGGTACAATGCTGATGAGCTCGGTTGCAAGTAGGCAAAACGGCCATCCGGTGTTTAGGTCTGGCATGCAAGCATTGCTCGTTGATATCAGTGATATGCACCTACTCATCCCGATCAATTTTCTTCGCATATCTGCTTGCTTCTTCAATTACCATATATGGCATTGTGTGCTTTTGGAAGTGTGTGGGCGGTTGTTACTTCCCGGCTGTGGAAGTTGCATGATTCTTCGGGTACCTGGAACAGAGAGAAAGTTGCGTGACCGCAGAGCCCAGGGGACAACTGCTTGAGCCCGGTCACACACGGCCTGTATGAACTGCTTTCTTGGTCTGGTTCCGCATTAGTAAACTTACCGCCGGTTTCCGACCACCGTAGGGTAAGTCGGGGTGATATGTATCCACATATATATATATATGTGTATGTTGGTCTCTCTTTCTGTTTGCTCGCTTAGTCTGTGACCATTTCACTGGTATGAACTTGTCTCCTTATTAATGCGTATTCTCCTTATATTATATTATATATAATATGAGTGTTTGTTGACAGTCCGTTGCTTGGTGACATATATCCATATATGGTTGTTTGACATGTCTGCTATATACATTCTGTGTGAACTACTTTACTTACTTACCACTTCGGTGTGAGACCATTTATTTTCGTCTCCTTGTGTTTGGACAATAGAAGTATCATCGCAAACCTAGTGGTCTTCTGATTTCCGCCTACTCGCGTCAGACTATTAGTTTCTCGACCAGTCCATAACAATAATTTAGCGACGAGAACATAACACGGGGTGTACAATTTTTGGGGTCAACCCCTCCTACCCCCTTCCACCGGAGTGGAGAGACAGCGTAGCTGGCATGCTGGTCATCTGAGAGAAACACCTTACTGCTGTTACATCCCTGTTCCCCAGCAGTACGACTTCGTCCCCAGCAAAGTGTAAGAAAAATTCTTACACTATTCCCAAAACTGCTTTTAATCTAATAGCTATCCTAAGAACATTCCTGGCATGGTAGGATCTGCAGGAAAATTGGTTCCAGCCAGTGTAGCTTGTTGGATCATCGCGATGTGCAAGCCCGACCAGCACGTCAAGGTAGCAGCTATCGGTCAGGATATGGCACCCAGATCACATGGAGTGAATAAAATAACTTGAATTCCAACAGCCAACAACTGCTACCATTTCGTGGTGGTGATCCAAAAAGCTACTCTGGCCGGGACTCTTTTCCTGTAGGTCCTACCATGACAAGAAGGTTGTTTGTATTGCAGTTAGACTATAAGCAGTAACTGTGCAGTGGGTGGGCTCCAGAATCCAAACGGGTCAAATGTCATATGGGAACGTAGCTCCTGACGCTGCCTTGTGGATTACAACCCAAGTCGTAGGGGGTGGTCCCTTAGGACAAACACCTTTTATCGTCTGGCCATCCGACCAGTATCTCAGCCCTCGCACCAACAATGAAACAACAAATAGTGAGGAAAATTGATCATACGCTCATTCTCAGGCTTACGAACAGTCATGATATTTTTTGGCAAAATGTTTCTTTTTAATCCTACTTTTCTACATAGACTTATATTTTTACAATTCTTGGTGTCTTCACTTCCGTCAGCCTCCCACCTTTGTTAGAATTTCCAGCCCATCTGTACCGTTTCGAAATGTCAGTGAATTATTCCCAAAATGGTTGACCCCACACGACACCTAAAACAGATATCCTGAAGCTGCGCGCCGCGTTCAAGCTGGCCACCTACAATATTCGGACACTGATACAAATCGGACAACAGACAGGGATGGTAAGAACATTGAAATGCCTCGTTATCAATGTCTGCTCCATTTAGGAGATCCGCATTCAAGATCCCAGTGAAGTGCTTCGATTATCCTCTCCATCTCAGTTTGAACAGTATGTACCACCTGCACTTATCCGGGGACTTGTCGTGTTGGCACCCAGCGTAGCTGGTTTCGGTGTCACACTAAACTCTAGAGCCGAAGCTTAATTACCCGACTGGACCCCCATCAACAGTTGTTTACGTGCTGTGAGGCTGGAAGGTTATACGGAAGTTAGGAGTGGTAGGCCAGATAGGCGGTGCCTATTTGTTGTCTCCGCCTATACATCGACGGATTGATTGCAGCCCGGATGCAACTAAGAATGAGTTCTACCACCAACTGGGTGATCCCTTGAAACAGGCGGGTCGGAGGGATATCGTAGTGCTGGTTGGGGACTTGAATGCACAGGTCGGGTGTCTAGGTGCAGAAGAGAATCGTCGAGGTGGTCAGTGGGGATTACCTAGTCGCAGGTCAGATAATGAGGACCGTCTTCTGCAGCTTTACGCAGATCACAACCAATTTCTAGCCAGCACCAACTTCCGGCACAGTCATCGCCGTAGCGTTACCTGGTGTCGTTTTTCTGCGAATCACGCTTGGACTCAGATTGATCATATTGGTGTCAGTTTCCGATGGCAAGGATGCATACAAGACTGCCGCTCTGTCTGGAGCATATGCCTGGACTCCGATCATGTTATTGTGTGCCAGGTTCATCTTGTGATTTGGTGGGGTTCATAAACGGCGTCATCTAAATATTTGAAATACCAGAATGAGTTACAATCAATGCTTGCCAGCAACCTCCCTCAAGTAGTATAGATGAACATTGGCTTCATCTGCAAGATGCCATGTGAAGGGCGAGTGTAGCCGCTTGTGGCTTGAAAGGGTACTCCGCTAAAATCCACTGGGTTTCTGCGAGTTCCTTGCAACTCCTGGATGAATGCCAGTCCATTCCGGCTGGCATCGATTACAACAATAAGCGAAAGGCGTTTACGCGCAAGATTAGACAGTGTTTACGTAAGGAGTGCGATGCCTAGTGGTCAGAACGTGCGTGTGAGGCGGAGTCAGCTGCTGCATCTGGCGATAGTCAGAAGCTGTTACAACTCATCCGAGTCACTGACAGCAAGAAACAAGGTGTCAGCGAGACGGCCTGTGAGGCAGGAGGCACGCCAATTACCAGCCTGAAAAGAAACCTGGAACGCTGGGCAGAGCACTTCAAGAAATATTTTGGCTGGCCACCAGATCCAGTGCTCCTTAGTTGGTCAGTACCAACCCACCAATCGAGGCGGAGGTCCATAAGGAACTCCAAGCGTTAAAACGCCATAAGGCACCCGGCCCAGACAGTCTAACCCTGGCTCTTTTTAAAAATAGTGGCGAGACTCTCAAAATGGCTCTAACTGGGTTTTTCGGGAAAGTATGGGAGACTGACAGTGTACCATCAATGTGGAACGAAGCCTTTATCGTCCCTCATCGTCAACCTGACTAATGTGACAATCACAGATGTGTTAGTTTGCTACCAGTTGCGTCTAAAATGTTGCCTGCTGTCTTGCTACGCAGGCTGTACAGAACACGTGAGGGATTGATTTGCGAAGAGCAGGCTGGCTTTTGTTCAGGCCATGGGTGCATTGACCATGCGTTCACCCTTCGTCAGTTATCTGAACACTGACACAAGTATTGCAGGCCAACAATAGTTGTTTTTCATTGATATTAGGGGAGCCTTCAGCTCATTGGACAAAATCGCTCTCTTGGACTGTCTTTTTGAGAGAAGTGTGCCTGAAAGTCTTAAATGGAAAGAGGTAGAATGACAGCATACAACCAACTATCATCACTGTTCCCGACCAACAGTGGGGTTAGACAGGGTTGCCCAATCTCTCCATTTCTCTTTTGACTTTGCCATTGATGACATTCTGGAGTCAGCTCTGAAGGAAGTGTGTGAAGATGGTGTAGA